AAGACACACCCCAACAGAGAAGACTTGTTGTATTTTAGTTGGAAAAGTATAAAAACCTGTCCAAACACCCATGTAGGAAATAAAACATCTTAGATCTTAGGAATAGCAATGCATTAAAAGTAACATAGACATTATTGCATTATATGAGGTAATCCAAGTCTAAGGAAAGATTACCACCTTCCAACAGATGAACTAAGACTTGAAATGACAATAGGTAGTACCTACCTATAAAATACACTTTAGATATTATTTGCCTATTGTAAAATTCTATAATGAATGTTTAATTGAGGCGTGAAATACCTTGTAACGGTTTTCCATAATCTCTAAAAAAAAAAACATAAAAAAACAAACCGTTATCGCGGGGTCACGATGAGGAGCTGATAATTCGAAACGAACATTCTAAAAGTGTGCACTCGGAAGCGACACAAAGAGACCAAATTTTCTATAAATAATCGCCTGACAATGCTGCGCCGTAATTTTATCCATCCCTGTATCGGAATGGATAAAAAAAAAGCAAACGAGGAACAAAGAAATTGGTTGAGTAGTCTCGTTTCTATAGTTTTTTTTTTTTTTTATTTATATTTTCACTTTAACATTTTGGTATAATTAACTAGTAGTTTAAATTTATTAAAGGTTATTTTGAAAAGTTAACCATAATTTACACCCTTTTTTTAGTAAGTATCTAATATTTTAGCTTCACATGAACGAATTTGTACAATTCGTTTGATGTTAACTATATCCGTATTTTTTTTTTAATTTTTGATTTTTTTATACGAAAATAAATATAATTTTTACTATTGGATTATAAAAGTTATACTTTTAATGTAACAGATATCAGAAATTTTAACAAATTTCTGATAAAAAAATTATTATTGCATACACACAACAGCTTTTTGGGAAAATATGAATGTACATGGATGCCACATGCCATTCTAGTAATGTGTGGAGTTTAATTAATGAACTTAAAAATTATGCTCTCTCTTCTTTATTCTCTCACTTTCTCTATCTCTCACACACATACATACAAAAATAAATTTCTGTGTACATAATATTATTTCCATAGTTTCACTAAGTAAGGAAATTCTCTTTATTGATTGAATAAGAACGAGAAGAAAAATAATACATATGCGAAATCAAAAATAATAAAAATGTATTCACAAAGAGATTCCAAGGACGTCGCTGTCAAAAACATGCCTTTATAATAACTACGAGCTTATGTACTCCGGCTGTAGGTAGCGTGCCACCCCTCAAATATAAAAACTTTCCTATGTGAAGGGTCCCCTATATTTAGAAAGCATACTTAATCGCATACGCGTTCGCTCCGAATATTAAAGTGGTGAATGGGGAAACGTCATATGGGAGCCTCGCACAATTAAAGCCGAGGCTGCATTGTCTGGCGTGCACACTTGGGTAACGACGCGTTCCGTTACAACACACACGCAACTCTTTATCGACAGTAGTCACACCGCTGAGAATAAACGATTAGATTACACCGCGAACCTCCAATGCAAAATAAGTCGTAAAGTCGACATGTTAAAGTCGTTTTACGACCAATTTAATATCAATAAAAATGTTCGAAACTCGACACCTTTATCACGCCGCCGTTCTAAAGATTTTAGTGTTTTCAATTTTTTGTAAAATTAAAGCTAAACCGTTACAAGGAGACTGCTAACTATAGAGACAAGTTGACGCTGTGACGATGTCATTATAATAATGCGCCTGTTGCCTCGCCGGCGGTCGTTATGCCCCACGCATTATTATGTAAATGAAAAACGAAATGGAAAGTCGGTGGATTTTTTGTGACTCTTATCTGATAGAGATAAGGTCGGTAATTAGTGAAGGATATTGAGGGAGACAGCCGCGGCGCCACGCCGCAGGTGAGATGTTCCCACGTGATGCCTGCATTACTATGTAATTGTTTAACTGTAAATAATTATGAGTCGTTAAAAGTACATAACAATTAATAGAAGTATTATCAGCATTTGTTTTATGACCTGAATAAAATCAATTTCTTTTAATTTATTATAACCAACTCATAATTCCTACCCATTCTTCCTCTTTCTACTCCAAATCCTTTTCCGTGCAAGCAGTTCGTTTGTGGAACTCACTCCCTACCCCTATACGGTGCGCTCAATCGTTGCCCATTTTTAAAAACTTAGTTAAAGCCCACTACCTATCCTTATAATCACTTAGTCCTACGTATTTCCAGTTTTATGTGTTTTATGTGTATTAATATGGTATATTTGTATGTATTTATGCGTATATATGTATATGTATGTATATATATTTATATGTGTATGTATATGTATGTGTATATATATGTATATGTTTGGTTGTATGTGTTTATTTATGTATGTATATGTATATGACGATGCTGTCACAAATATTATTTTTTACAAATCTATCTTTTTTAACGCGCCACCTTATGCTTTAATCCTTTCTACCCAAAGGTTGTCTGGAAGAGATTGCTTAGCAATAAGACCGCCTTTTGTACTACACTATACGTATTGAAAATTGTTTTAACAAATCATGTTATGTTGGTGCAATAAAGTGTTAAATAAATAAATAAATAAATAAATATAAATTTTACTAAATGTTTATTAAATCTGTCATTGTGGCAGATCAGATAAGGTAGAGGTTACTTGTTCCGTATAAGATCGAGTGCTAAAGGTCTGTATCTATACTTACTTATCAACTTCTTTTGCTTCATCTAATTTTATTGTCTCAAGCAAATATACGCAACTGGGCACTTCTCCCCCAAATATTTCTATTCAAGATAGGTCAGCCTAGATAGATAGGTACTCCAGTATTCCAATATATAGCACCGGAAAGGTGTAGAGTCATTTCACTTTGGTATTTTTATCCGTTTCGTTATCCTCTAGCCCAACATTACAGATCATAACAAACTTATTGCTAGTCATTTTTTATTACATAAAAAGTATGTTAAGTTGTAAGTGTAAAATTATTACAAGTTTATAGCAAACAAGACAAAGAAGTCTATCAGGCCATCAGCTTGTTTGTACTTCATAATAACTCGTAACTAGTAAAAAAAGTCATATCTATTTCAATATTTTCACAAATTTGGTGTAGAGACAACATCCAAGTCCTTAGGTATAACACATGATTTCGTAATGTCTTCATCTCTGGAGATGATTACTACCACCTTTTAGTACGTGCCGTCATTTTGTTTACGATTACAACTCGAATAAAAAAAATATGTCAAAGAATTCTTCTTTGACATAAGTTTTTTCTTTCAACACTAATTAATCTTTATTAATGGCATTCTCCTCGAACAGTAAATAGGTGAGACCTATTGTCATAGTCAAACTTGTCTCATATTTAGACACTAAATGCTAATCCATTATTCTAATGCGTTTAAATAAATATTACTGCAACCAGAGTGCTATGTTTGTACATTGTTTAGTACGGAATGACAATGGAATGTAATCAGGCTGTTATGAAGGGTCGACAAGGGTCGGCCGGCTGAACTGGCGTCTCCCCCGTACCTTGGTTCCGTGCCACTCTGCCGGGGGGTGGTGTCCCTAGTAATTGAGTTATTGCACGCGTATTTATATCGGGATTAGGATAAGTACCTCGTTTGTGCAATGTGTACTTTTTCTTTTGATCTACAAGATTTCTAAAAACACTGTACTTAATATTAACTCAGTATATTAGCTAACACCAATTGCGGATTATAGAGAAAAATAGCGAACTGTAGCTAGAATGGGATATATTTTTCTGTATTTTGTCGTTGGTAAATATATAAGGTAGTTTTGTTTTTCGTGATGTCAAATCACATCTATTACAGAACAAATTATTAATACCTATTTCAGAATATGTGTTTACAGCTAATAATTAATCCTATAGTCTGTAATTAATTACCTTTTATTAGCAGTTTCGTCTGAGTACTGAGAATTAACCTAAAATCCTGTGTGTGTCAATATTTTTGTTTTTGTTCAGCTGTTTACACGTGATTGTCTAATCTCCACTAACTACAATGCAATAACAGCACAAAATTAAAGTTATTTCTTCATTGTAGTTTTATTTGAATAATTATAATTTATTTGTATCACCTAAATCAATGGTAAAAATGCTGTTTCGTCGTGTGAGAAAATCACATCAGGCGGCCACGTTCCCTTACAAGCATTGTTTGCGGAGCCGGCCACAAGTGGCGAGGGTCGTCATCCCTTTTGTTCCGAAACAAGGGTCTCCTTACCCTGCTCGATCGCTTAATTTGTTCATCCACTGTTTACTATACCTATTGTACTAGTTCCCAGAACAGGTGCTTCTTTTAATTCAACATTTAATATGTCTCGCTCTTATACATTTTTGCGAATAATGACATTGCTGGTAAATAAAAAAATAATGTTTCTGCTACATTTTTCTTTTAAAGTAGTCTAAACTATTTACCTTAAAAAAACTAGTCATGCCCCTGATTATATCATACTTAGTTTTCATCCGATCAGGATTTGTTTTCTCTAACTCATACATACATCTCATTTTACTCGCTCATATATTTATGATACTCTAAAACTTTACATAATATTCCCAATACAGTAGCTGTAAATCGAAAATCCTTAACCAATTAATTGGCAACTGTCACTTTTGTCCACTTTAATATTTTATTTTCTCAACCTATCTCAACTGATCCATATAACTTATTCTTTATTCTTATTATACTTGTAAAACTTCTTTACACCAAATAATGTAAAATCATTTCAAAAACTACTATTTGACGATTTACAAATGGAACAACATTTTCCCAGTTTCCTTTTTAAAAACTAATTTGCATACATATTTCCTATTAGTTAATGATGTACAAGGTTCAATCATTAAACCTACTCAACATAGAACAATAGACTTCCCTATGAGTTGATTCTTGCTTTTTATTTTCCATAATCCATTCATATCCTACTTATATGAGCATCTGTTGTTTAGCTCACCAACAATATAGATTAACCTGAATATTGAAAATAGCTATTATTTTTTAGACACAAAAATAGTTCTATTGCTTTATTTCAAACTATTGGAAACTCTATAACAATACGTTTCTAATCACCGTCATCACATACTCAGACTCTTGTTTTTCGAATTATTCTTTGTTTTTTTTTTTTACACTGTTAATTATGATAGATTTTTAACAGTGCTTACATACGAAGTCACGTCTTCTATGACACTCGCTCTCCTAACGATATCTCGCGGTCGTATTTTAACACTTGGCCGTCAAACTGCGGTGACGTTTGGAGCTGTGTTCACTGCATCGATTTAATTGTCGCGAGTCGATGACCGTACGACCGCTAACTGCAGTCGCCGTTACCAAACCGTTCCTCCACTTTACTCCCATTGAGAATGAAAATTATCTAGCAATGACATCAATTTATTATACTTACCACGACACAGCTATAGTATTTAATTAGATAACAATGATTTACTATTAAAATAAATAGTTTATACCTAATATCGATAATTCAGCATAATTTTATTACCACATATCAATACCAGCCACTACTCTCATCAATCAAAGACAATCATGATCGTAAATTTTCAACACCTACTCTGATAAAAATTAATAAATATCATCGAAAATAATAATCACACATCTGACTTCCGACGCAGTCGTGAAGCGACTGACGTAGTGACGTAGGTAGAGCTTACTTCAAACCGGCCGGCAGACTTGCTTACCTTGTCTGGCATATCAATTTTCTCTTCGCACAACAGCGCTCTGGTTTCGAACATGCCTACTACTACGCATTTATGCACTCCTGGTACTTGAGTTACGAAAGAATACGCGCGATATTTCGCAGGGCTGAAAGGAAGGAATCGTTTTTTGTTCATTCAACCCATACTGTGTCTGTGTTGTAATAAATAATACGTTATCCACGTGGATACATTAATATTATGTCAACATAAGTCATTTATTTCTTTACTATCTACTACTCTACAGCATAAATAAATAAATGTACATGTATTATTTATTATTGCAGAACAATACGCATTAACTAATCAATATATGTGTGCAATTGCTATAAATCAGAGACTGCAATTTATTCATTGTATTCCGTAATTCGTTTTTAGTTTATATTCATACCACGAGAATATTAAATAGATACATAGAAAATGGATAATAGACACGTCACGTCCGCTGCTGCGGAGGTCTGTGCGTGAGTGAACTGAATAATCACGAAGAGGATGAACGCCCGCTGACCTCAGGGTGTGAATTTGTCTAATTTGAACCATTTGTGTCAGCTGTACAGTGAATGTAAATGTATTCTAATTTCAAACCTTAGATTGTATAGATAGAATGTAACACAGGACAATTTTTTATCTATTTGCGTAAATAGGGTTACCATAATGTACATTTATTACTCACTATATGGGAGAAATCGCAAGTTTAAATTGAAAAGTAAAAACGATACAAAATTCTTGCGAATATATTTGAAAGAACGAGGTAAACAGTGCCTAATGAACCGTAATAATGCTCTACTGATTCTTTTGATTTACATTAATATAGACATTACATATTTTTTCGTTTTTAAACTAACGAAAATGGTTGCTACTTTAATTAACACCAATTTTTAATCCAATTTCAACACTGATAAAAAGCGCGTTTTGTTTTGATTAAAAAAATATGTGCATAAGAATTTAGTTAGGTAATCGTCAATTTAGCGGACTAAAGTTTGATACGTTTTTGACAGTCGGTTCACCATATTTCATTTAAAGTTCATATCATCACTAAGACGAATAAGCTAAATTTTCGGTTTCAAAAAACAAATTTAAATAAAGATTTGAAAATAACATTATTCATACATAATCATAAATTCATGGGCAAAACATTATATTATTTTGGTTTTATTATTACCGCAAAATCGTATCTCTAATGCCCGTTAATATTAAAAAAAAAAGTTACTTAATGACTAGTCTCATGTGGAAAGTATACAATAAATCAATAGCGAAATTGTAATAAAAAATATAAGAAGATTAAAATATAAAAGAACGTAATCCCTATCATCAAGCCATCAGACGAGAATGAAAAATTAATCAGAACGGCATCATTATTGCACCAATCGCCTCGGGGCCGACGCGACCCGAGATTCCACGATTTTTCACCTTCCCTCACCCTCCCAATTTATCAGACACCCTTTTAACGCCTGGCGAGGGAGTGCCTGGACTATGAAATTAAACGTTACAATTGAATTATATAGGAATCTATACTGTCAGCCTTGATTTATTGAGCCTTTTCTTGCTTGCTGCAAATCAAATGGCATTAAGTGAGTCCTCTACGCAATACTGCTATTGAATTTTAATTGCACAAAACACAATTTACTAAATGGAGATAATTGAGATGAATGAATACTTTTATATAAATATTTTAATGCGTCTATGATTTTTTTAAATTTGTGTATATATATAAAATGCAACAGTAAGACACCTAAAGCACTGGCACCCTAACAATGTTGTAATTACGCCCAAATACCTAACCTACCTATGAATATATAGACAAAGAAGTTCTAATTATATTTATCACAGTACAAAGACTTTTCTATGGTATTCTCAAATAGCAAATCTAAATAATGAACTCTCGTGAAAAGTAAAATAACTGAAAGTCGAAAGTTGGTATTTGAGTACTTATATACTTAATGTTAGTATTATAAGTAAATTATTATTAATTGCTATTTAATTAAGTTGGTATAATACGTTAATGTTGTGATTAATTATCAACATTATAGGATTATTTATTCTTATCATCTTCTGATACACTTGAATGGTTAAAGCTAACTTAATATTAATAAATTTGTATTTATATCCAGTTTTACTAAAAGCAGATATAAAGATATTAAATAACACCTTAGTAATTATATTTTTTATTGATTATTTATCGACGTCAAGAAGAAGGAGGTTCTCAATTCGGTAACGTTTTTTTGTTTGTTACCTCATAACACCGTCAGTTCTAAACCGATCTGTAAAATTTTTTTCTTGTCTAAAAAGATATACTTACAGATTGATCCCATAGAAATTTTATTAAAATCAGTTTAGTAATTTAATTTTTAAATAACAGTTGTTGGCTTAATTCAAGTCGTTTTTTTATGGGATACAATCTTTATGTATATATGATATAAGGTTCAAAATAGCTTATTGTGTAGTATGATCAGTAATGCCATCGTGTAAAATCAAACTGGAATTTCGCTAGCGGGCCCGCGAATGATTTACATTTGGTATTCTGTAAACAAGTAAGATCGATGATAGCGTCATTTCGTTGATGTGGCGGCGTAGTGATTTGGGATAAATATGCTACCAGTGCTTAGGAACTCATTTTAGTTTTTATAACTTAATTCATTTGTCATTCCCATAGGTTGTAGAATATAAAAATTAGATAAAGTGAAAATTAAATGAGCTGCGAAATAAAATTTTGGCTCGTTATTTCGCAATTTTTTTTTTTATACAACTTAGAATGCCAAACAAGCTGACGGCCCACCTGATGGAAAGTGGTAACCGTCGCCTATAGACATGAGCAGTACCATGGACATAACCGAGTATACTGTTTCGCCCATGATGTGCCATGCGTTGCCATTCCTGAGGACTCAGGTGTTATTCCTCTGTACCCAGTAAATTCACGCCATATCCCACCCTTCAAACCGAAACACAGCCATGCAAACACAACTGCTTCACGGTAGAAACACGAATGAGACAGAGGTACCCAAGCAATCGACTTTTGTACAAAGTCTCCCTCTGGTAATTGTTAAAAAAATTGTAAAAAAATAAAATTGTTACATCTTTATAAAGTTATTTAATTATGTGATGACTCCATAGCGATTCGAATTGTCAATTTGGGATCCCTCTACTTAACTGTTGATACTTAGTGAATAAACGTATGTCTATCTTCATGACGAAGTATTTATTTACCCCGTATGTAACAATTAATAGAAATATCGTATAATTAATTACTAATGTATATCTATATTATGTATAGGTAAATACACAAGTATATACTAACAAAGTATCAATAATCAACCATTCCCTACATTGACTGGAATTTAAATCAACATCATTCCCGATCATACTACCATCCATCATACCCAGCCATTGTCAAATGGGTTAAGCACCCCGGACGGTTCATTCTATACCCGACAGCAGTGTTCGTGCGCGCATGCGTCACGCTTTCCTATCCTGTGACAACGCGCTCAGTTGTGACACGGTCACGCGTTTTGATTTATTATGACAGCACCGCTCAATTAGTTTCAGGTATCGTAGCGATGATTTCTATTTTTTTTTTTTTTTTTTATAGATTGATTAGACAATGGCAAAAAAAATAGAGCCACCTTATTAAGTATTATGGTTATTATGTTACAACCACAATTAGATAAAAATTGTACTTTTTCACGCCTTAATAGCTAAAAAAACAATTATCATGAAATTTGTTAAACACATAATATTTATTCGCTATGGATAAGGTTATAGGCTTTTTTACCGCGTATTTATCGTAAACCGGTAATGAAATATTTTTGTTATCTAAATACTTTTATGTAAATTAATTGACTTAAAAAAAACATAAAAAATAATCTAACAGCAAAATGCTTAAAACTGAGAAAAAGTCTACAATTTTTTTTAATAATAGTTATTTCTACTTTCTTAATAAAGTTATATTTTTCGTTAGAATTATATATCTACTTTTAAAAAAATCCTATGTAACACTATTTCCACGTTTATTATTTAGTTTTGAAATGAAACGTTCCGTTTCATGTAATTATATTGCAAAGTGACCCAAGTTTCAATGCCAACAAACACTTTCACGGAAATTTCACAGGGAACTACACTCGGTTCAGGCAATTTGAGAGGATTCGTGTTTAAACGCTCGATCGGTCCCTGTAGGCGAGGCGAGGGATCCATTAATCTACCCCCGCTGCCTCCCGCAACCACCCATTGCCTCTGGGGAAAATCCGGAAGAGTCGGGTCTCGGGAGCAATTTGCGACAGCTTGATAGATAGGGAAATGTGGCCGCGAAATGTCAAAGTAAATGCACGATTACTTTATCTATAACGACTTAGGTCCCTGCTAGATTTTAATTAGTTTTTTAAAGATCGAATTTTAATGTTTCCTTACAAGAATAAATCTTCCGGTATTTTTATTGCTATGGTTTTTCGGTTAGAATTTTAATATTCAATTTCTGTTATTTTTCATTATTCACTACCGAACATTCACTATCAAAATAAACAAAATAGAATAGGAATAATCTTTATTTAAATAGGTAATAACTTTTAAATCGTTATTTTTTTAACTTTTACTCCTGGATTCGGAATGTTGTTATCTCAGAAAAATCCGCATGCAATGCAACATTTATTCTTTTACATTTTATTTTAATTCATCATTCATTCATCATATTCACGTATGTAAAATATAATTATTAATTTCTGTGGGTTCCATGACAATAATTAGACTTGAGTTCTATTTCTATGTATTATTCGATGTGAAATAAATAAGCAAACATGAACAGATTTGTGCCCACAAACAGCAATCGTTCACGAATATGATGGATTAGTCAGGCTACATTGCGCTCAACCATATATGTACTTGTACATATATGGTTGAGCGCAATAGTTTAACGGCCCGCCGTTTTT